GAAAGAGTTTGGTAATTAAACACATTAACATTGTTCCTTGGCAGTATGCTAGTTTAGCTAAAGCTACCTTAGAGGATATTGTACAGAGTACAAAAGTTCATATGCAGCCTTTATTTTACAACTTTTAGGTCCTCACAACTAGGTTATAAAATAATAGAATCTTCACTTACAAGACAGTATCATGATCAACTTTGTTTTGTAAATGTTTTTCCTGGCTGACTTACATAGTGACTTAGGTAATGCAAATATTTCCTGTGATATTTTTAACATAAAAGGATCCCTTCATAGCTAAATTTTTAACTTTTATTATAGGAAGTAAGTAAATATTACCTAAAACTGACCAATAGTAAAAATGTATTATAGTTTCACTATTTAGAAATGCAGAGACAAAAGGCGAAATAATCAGAAAAAAGTAATTACATATTATTTATTTTGGGTTTTGGCTTTCTTTTTAGTTGCTGAAATAAACTCACAATTTCCTCCTGCTGTCTCTTTGCTTATTTCTTATACTTCAAATAAACAATTTACATGTAAATGGAAGCAGAAAATTATTATTATTTTTACCTCAGCTAGGTTCTTCTATGACACAGAATTGTTGAATAAATTGTTCTAAAGCTAAAAGTAAGAAACACAGCACTCTGTCTGGAGAAAACTGTGTTGTATACCCTGAGGAAATGACAATAGGCAGTTGAAATAAATGCTGATAATGAATTTTGCTACTTATCTTTGCTTTGTTTTGGTCCAAGTCAATAAAGACAGAGTCAAAATGGTGAGCAGTGGGTCTTGGCTGATTCAACTGAAAATCTAATTAAAAGATTCTTCTCATCTTAGGTTATATTGGAATTCTAAAACACAAAGGATGCTGCCACTAGTTAGAACAACCATAATTCAAAACACTACAAAGAAAAGAAGTGGTGTTTAATTGCTTGTCAATAGGCTATTGTTTAGTGTTATTCACCTCAGATCAAACTTGCTCAAAGACAAATGTTCATGCTTTTATTAGCTAAAGTCTGTGGCATGACATTCAAATCTAAGGACTAAGAAGTCAAAGTGCAGGAATTCAAACCACAGTATTTATTCTTTCTGGGCATCAGTGACATACAAATGATTGATTTGCATTAAAATTCTCAATAAATAAAATAATACTGCTTGAAGCCATGAAATTAAGTTTGCCATGACTCTGAACACACCACCATTTTTGGTACTCCTTTTGGATGTGGGAAATTGGAAACCCTCTTTAATAATTTCCAGTGTTTAAACATATGTCTGTCAAACAACCCCCTCTTTTAAACAGAGATTGTTCTTCATTTAATTGTGCATTCTCATTCAAAACCAAGGGTTAAAACAAAGCAATTACTTCCTAATGTATAGATACTGGGTAAGTGAGTGAATGAATGAATACAGATTGGTGGAAGTTTCGGAGGTTTGTCTTTCAGCGTCAGAAAGTCAGTTTAAGCACACCAGCATCTTTCTGTGGGCTCTGATACAGCATCTCAATTTAATTCTTATTTTCTCTTTTGTTTTGATGTTCCTTCGTCTCCTAATTTCTTCTGGCAAACAAGAATTTATGAAGCACCTTTTCAGTGCAAGGCAATTTAGGTATATGCTAATTGTACTCATGGTTTGTTCATTCAATAAGATTTCTGTTTAGTATGGAAGATAAGACAACAAACAAGAATAAATTAAAAGGTTATATCCTAAGAGTAAAGCAAATAAAGTCCTATGGCAACCTCCATTCTTCTAATGACACTATTAATTTACCACATTTCCTTCATTCCTTCATTTTCGAGGCATATTTTCAAATTAAGAATAGCATTTTGAGGAAAGACATTAAAAATGCACATATTTAAAAACTACCTAACAGTAACGTTCATTTACCTATAAAATTGTATGTCACTTTATTCATCAGTATCAGCATCTAAGCCATGACACAGTCCAAGTCTAAAAATTCTTCTGATAAATTTGACCATCAGTGGTTAAGCATATTGTGATAGTGATCAACAGTCCTCATGATACTGATTTCTCTAGCAATTTTAGGAGCAACAGTATCATTCAGAAACAAATGAGGTAATACTAGAATTTTTTTCTCCATTTACTGTTTGGCGAAATTCTAGTTAAGTTGGTTTTGTTTACGGCTATTAATTAAATAAGTGGAAGTCCCCCAAGAATCAAAAGTTGGTCACAGTTTATCTAGTTTTGAAAAATCTACAGTAAATTCCAAAAAATTTGGCAATATTACAACCTTCATTATGCTAGATGGCAAAAAATAGACGATTGCCTAGCTTCACAGTAACTTTTAGCTCTAATGCACCCTAAGGGTGTTATCTTTTTGTGGACATTTTAAATGACAAATACATATCCAAATATAAAATTCAACAACTGCTGATTGTATTAAGGCAAATAAACCTTCTCAAATAGCAGCCTGATGGTTTCAGATGAGGATGCCTTTAATTCTTGACCATGTTACCGTAAACTCAGAAATGACAAAGGCTTTGTAATTTACTTCACTGCATATAAGATTTTTTTACATCAATTATGTTTACCAATTTCAGAAACATTAAAAGTAAACTGAATTTCTTAGAATTGAATTTATTAGAATATTTCTGTTTGAATGTGACCCATAACTTTGATAATTTAATAAAACCACATTCCCTATTTTTATGTTTGCTTAATATGCTGGACACTTTACGCTTTTGTAATGCACTCAGGATGTTGCTATATTCTGGCCAGTAGTGTTGCACCTCTAATTTCTGCTGTTACTACATGTAGATAAATCCCCTCGCTAAAAGCACAGAAAATCAACATGAAAGACCTTTTAGGGCAATGAGGGAGGCTTAGTCTGAGTTGCCTGTTGTTCATATAAATCAGAAGTGTACAAAAACAAGTAGAAATGTAAAGCACCCAATCATCTAAACTTGTGTCACTGATAACAACTTTCTAATCTACCTCAAGGTCTAAGTATAAAAGAAGGAAATAAATAAAAGATATATCAAACATAGGTACATAAAGTCTGGGGATGTCACTGAAAAACAAACAAATCAACAACAACAACAAAAATTACAGGAGAAATTCAGTCACAGAGGAAGACGATAAATTTAAATTCAAATTTGTTGTTTGCAGGTAACAAAATAATATTGAAGGAAAAAATTACATTGGTTATTTGGAAATGGTAGAAGTTCTGAAATTAAAGAAGTAAACCGTTGGCAACTGTTTGGAATAGAGTCAGTAACTGAAGCCACAAAGAACTAATTGCTATCAAGAAGTAATTATAAAACATAAATTAGTACTTCTGTTCAAACTTAATGAATATTTTAACATAACCATCAACTTCTATAACATACATATGTTCCTTGAATGTAGCTAATATGATGAGGTCCACTCAATCCTATGCTGGGAAACTCAGACCACACTAGAGTGAGTTTCTAATACCCTGGCATTGCTCTGAACTGCCAGATCCTAACCTATCTTAAATTCCGCAGTGTTTTTTCTCACCTCTACAGATTCTCACCACAGGGTTTCTCCCCAAACCTCATTTATGACCTTACTTTTGCCTTCAGACTGTAGTATAAATACACTCCTATGTTCTTGCTTTCCATGAGAGCTGTACCTTATCATTATTTTGTCTGTGGCTGTACAGTCTTCTGTAGCCCTAGGTAAAGACCTGCACAACAGGACCAACACTCAGGATTCTCTGTCTCATTGCAGCCTTCCTGAGTGTTGTCCTCTTCTGTTTTAGAATGGATCCCTCTAATGAGACCCACATCTATTTACTTAATTGCAGACCACTAGTTTCTACAAAGACTACAAAGAGCGTTAAAAACAAAGAGTATGTTTCTTGAGAGGAGCTCTAAAAACAAACTAGAAGAGCAAATTTAACATAACAGGAAAATCCTTAGGATAAAAATAAGTTGTTCTTAAAATTTTATGTTTGCTTACTAGTTTCTAAAGTACATTTCATCATTAAAGATTAACTTCTCCAAATTCTAAAAGCATTAAAAGTGCCAGATTATGAAAGATCTATTCAATTAACTCACATGTACATAATCTGCCACCATCAAATTAACAAAATACATGAAATCCACAAAACAATTTATAACAAAATATTAAATCATACATTAAAAAAACAAAATGTATGTTTAGCTACTTATGTATACATACAAATATATATTAATATGACTATGTATATTAGATAGATTAAGCTAGTATGCACAAACAAGTAAAATAAATACGTGTTAACAATTAGAAAAAGTATATTCCTACAGAGCAAATCCTGTGTAAATTTAGTAAAAATTTAACCGTTAAAATTTCAAATTATTAGAACAAAACAGGTTTCTTTTTCCTAAAAACATATTTTTTGAACTTCCAGTATAAGTAATAATCAACCCCAACAGTTTTCAAACAATACTTTTGTTTGAGTCCTCGACTTCCAAGTTAAAAATAGCAAAATAAATCTCCAGTAGAGAAAATTATCTTCATTTTTGAAACTTTTCTATTACAAATGCTACTTGAACAATATTAATGTTAACAATCATAGATTTTAATTTCATTAAAAATGTTAAAAGTGATATTTATAAAAAATGCAAATGTGTGTTAAGAAGCAATCTGGATTATAGTTTGGGCAAGATTAACATAAATATAGTTGAATATTTTGCTCTGATCTCAAATTCATCTCACAGAAAGTAAAATGAACTTGAAATAAAATCAGGAAGTTTTCACAGGTTCAGAGAGACTGAATTCTGCCACTAGTATTACCTATCATTAGTGACCAAGCATCCAGATGGATCCTCTGTTAAACATGGCTTATTCTGAGCTATTAGTGCCAGCCACCAGATCACCGAATATTCTGAGAGATAATCAGCCATTTATTGAGAACCTTGGGCACATGCTTGTGGCTGAAAGAGGCAAAAAAGAAATACATATTTCCAAATATCATCTCATAAGTATTTAGCAGCAGGCCTGGAATCACTTGATTACCTTTCAATTGAGTAAAGTGTTCTTACCAAAATGACCACAGTTCAAAAGAGGGAAGCATCTACCATCCTTCTTTTCAAGGATTCTTTCCCATCGTATGCCTGGAAAATCCAAAAATAGAACGTGGAATTTTGCTGTATTTTAAACCAATAGATTCATAACTTGTTACTGTAGGTTGAAAGGTTGGAAAAGGGGAAAAACATACATACATATGAAATTACTTTAATGGTCTTAAACTCAAATCTCAGAGGAAAGAGAAATGAAGTAGAAAGGGAAGTGAAATTTTATTCATTTGAACAGATAAAAAGGATTATAAAGATATGTATTAGAAACAGATCTACAGGGGTAATTGAGATTTTAGCAGGCTAAGAAGAATGAAATGGCATGTTTATCAAGGAAGCAACAGAGCTAAAGAGGCTTATGTTTAGGAAATAGCCATCCAGATGCAGGAGGGAAACAATAGCTCTCTTTGATGTTTGAGAATTGAGTGCCAGGAATAGCCAATAGTATATACAGGTAGATCTAATGACTGTGATCTAATTCTCCAATAAGGTTATGAGAGTAGTAATATCAAATTATCACCATTGTATGGAGGAGGACATTAAGGTACAAAGTGTTCATATAACTACTTCCAAGAGCACAATTAACAAATATGGGAGTTAGGATTGTGAACTGAGGTGAAGTGACTGTCAAGCCAGTATTCCTAATCACTAGGCTATATTATATTTTGAGGACACAGAAGAAAGTGAACTGGTTAAGTAAAATAAGGCTATGTCATGGGGGCCTTGCCTGACTCCTAGACTAAAGAATTTGCTTAGGCATGTCTCCTACTGTGTGAATTTTTGAGATATGAATTAGAGAGAAGACAATTGAATAATTAAAGGGAAAGAGTGCCACTACTCCAGCAGCTGTTGGATATAATGTTATTGTGGCTGGGAAGAAGCACCTTGTTCAATGGAAAAATGCTATTGAGTAAACAGAGTAGGAATCTACACCTGCTTGTTGTGCAATAAATGGATGCTCAGCTGGTGTTCTTTCTTCTGTTTCCTGCTGGAAGTTGTAAACAACACTAGAATTCATTTTGACTGTACAAAGTTTATTGATTCTTATCTGATCTTACATGTTCTTCAGTAACTTCCCAGGAAGGTTTTGGTTTATTTTTGTTGGTTTTGTTTATTGTTTGTAGTTCTCACAAAATACTACCATACCCAGTTTGAATAATAATTTCATCAAAGAAATTCTTAAATAAAATATAATTTGGTTATTGTTGTCTGGTATTATTTTACTTCTTTCCTTACCTTCTCTTAACACATACACATTGAAAGAATTGAGTTTATAATACAATTGTTGAAAATGTGAATTTTCTTAGTAATATTGTTGTCATTAATAGCAAAAAAGAAAAAGGTTTAACTTAAAACTCAGCATGCAATGGTGAAGCATTAGTGGTTTCTGAGAAGGTAAACATTACACAAAGAACCATGAATTAGATAGGTAGATACTGGATAGATGGTTTGCAATAAGGGAGAGAGAAAGTAACAGGAGAAAATAAGGATGAGTCAAAGATGACTGCATTTTAAACCATGTGTCTGAGAGGAGAGTAGTAATATTAATAACCTCAGCCATAAAGGCATAAGGACAAATGTAATAAAACAAATCTCAACTGACCATGTTTTGGAAATATACATTTTATAGGCATAATTCTCCTGTTACACAATTTCGTTATCTGTAACAAATACAAATGTTATATTAAAACCTTTTGTTTCCCTAAAGGCATACACCCCTGCCTAAGATGTTACTTACAAGAAACAGTTAAAATCAACCCCTTAATAATTTACATTTTCCCATATATGCCCCAATTCCTCTGTGTTTTTGAAAAGGCTGCACCTAATATATGAATAGACAATTATGTGCAATGCCTATTATAAAGTGTTTCATGGTTAAACTAACATACTGCTTGCTGAGTTACCATGGAATTTAACTCTTAGTAAAAAAGCATAAAAGCAGTACTAAAATTGAACTTAAAACCCATCTACTTATTAGGAGTCTCTATATTTCTTCTACTGATATTAATCTCCACACATATATTTTCAGTAATCAAAATTATAATTTATTCAACAGCTGGAGGTCAGTTATTAATTCTAAATCATTTTCTCACAGACTCAGGCTTTGAAAATTAAAATTAATTATCCAGTTACAGTAGCAACAAATCAAAGTTAAATTCTTACATTATCACAAGGGGACCTTCCTCATAAGATCTAATTACTGATCTATTTTCTAGTGCAAAGAAGCATACCTACATATACATAAATGTACTTTTATAGTTTTTCAGTGGAATTGACAAATTATGGATTAGCCTCACCTCACCTTCCTTAGATCAAGAAATATTTGGAAATCCTCCAAATGCAATAATCAACCGAAACATGTCTGATTAGTCTGACATTATCTCTTGACAAATGCCTTCATTCTCTTCTGAATCAGCATGACATACACCACTTCAGTTTGTGTCTGTAGCAGACATTTCCTGTGAGGTGAAAACAGATTGCAGCATGAATACATTGTCTAAATTTATTTTGAATTCTTCACCTAAATTCTCAAATCTTAAAAAAAATATTATGTTTGGTAAGGTTTATTTTATCATTTTCCAAGGCAGGAGTAAATTGGGTTCTTCTTATATACCTCAATGAAAGGTTAAAGACTGAAAGTATTTAATAACATTTTAACAAGTAATCTGAATAGATAAGTATGTGTGTAGTTTTTTAATAGGAGCACAAGCATTTCATTGAACAACTGAAAATTCAACAACCATCTTCATGTTTATTAATATTTTTATAGTTCTTTCTGATATATCCAAATTGTTATTTGTGTTGGGGAAGTAGATCCAAATGCTTAAACACATTCCTTCCCTCTTATCTGTGAATAGACCTGCCTGCCATAAAACTGATGTTTTCTTCTGTGCTTTCATATAAATTTCTATAAGAGATCTATAGGAATTTAGCAATACCACATACATCACAATTAAGGTGGCTCTGTTTCCTGAAGATGAAAAAGCTGGTGGGAGGGATGGGGAAAGGAGCAATGCACTTGAAAATACCATACCAAAAGATAGCTTAAGAATGGCCTTTGCTAGAAAACATGGGTCTGCCATGGTAAGAAGTTGGTGTGGCCCTGGGGAATTACCTATCAATTGTAGAGAAAAAGAGTTAATCTGATAAAGGGCTATTTGAAGCAAATTGACCCTGGAGCACTTGTAGCCTGTGTGACAAAGCTGACTAGTCTGGTCCTCTGGGCCACCACTAAGCCTACGCTTTCAAACAACACCTGATTCATACACTCACCTAACTATTACGCCCTTTCCCTTAAACAAAACTTTACCCTATAAAACAATGATTTGTTTTTGCTACCTTGGATGCATATTAAATGCCTAGGAAGCTTCGAATACATGCCTTGGTCTGTGACTTATCCAAGACCCATAAAATCAAGATGCAGTTTGGAGCAGAATTTGTTTAGTAAGAGATCTTCATGGTTGAGAATCAAGGCCTTAAGCGATCAGCCTACATGAATCTTCTTCTGCTGGTCACAATCACTTTTCCAGAGCTCGATTCTGCTCTAGGTAAATGCCCATGATCAACTCAAATCACATGCTGCCTGAGGCCCACATCTTAAGCTCCCCATACCTATCATGGAGTAATGTTCCTGAGATACTGGGGCTGAGTGTTGTGTGTTAGATATACGCATGCTAAAATCAACCCAGAAATGAAAATTTTGGAGAAGAATTAAAACATAGTCACAGCATAGGAGGACTGGAAACAAATCAGTCTGAAACAAAGAAAGCAAATAAATGCTAGAGAGTTCATGTATAATGTCATACAACAGAAATAAGCCCTAAGGCAGCATACTGCACAGAATTTAGAAACCAAAATCTTTCCCAGTCATGGGTAGGGCTCCCTCCATCTATAACAATCCTCAAAAAGGCTATATAATGCAAGATTAAAAAAAAAACAGAGATTAATTGACAGTGATTGAGCGTGTTCAATGGGATAAGAATAATAGAGTTTGCTTCAGAGAGGCACACAAACAAATTACACATGCAATATAAATTTGCTATTAACTGTCGTTTTTACTTCTCCAACTAATACTCTCACAAAAGCCTTTAAACCCATGAAAGTAAAGTAGTTGCTTCTCATGGGCCAAAACTTGTAGGTAGATTAAAAATGGTAATCTCAAGTGTATAGCCAAGGAGGATTGTTGAGGCATGAGATCAGCAGGAAAAAAAAATGCCCTATTGAAATAGCAACGCCTGCTGTGGATGCAGGGGTGTGTAGGCTGGCACACTTGAAATATGCAACCTCACCTGCCCTAGTCATGTTCCTCATCTGCTCCTTCTGTATTTTCTTCCCTTCACCCTCTTAACTGGTTCTACTTAAATTTCTGGTCTTTTTCTGTATTCAAGAGTTTGAACACTCCAACATTCTCTGACAAGGAGCAGGTATTTACTCATAGCTGATATTTTATAATAATTACAAAAATTAGTTTTATGCTAATTACAAAAAAAATCGTTTCATCTTCTCATTGCTAAGAGTTTGCATGTGTGTCCTTAATGACTGATTTTTTGCAGGGAAGGGTGGAGAAAAAGGGGGTTGTCTTGCAAGGATCTCTGCTCTTAAAACACCTAAAGAGTTTCTCTCTCTCTCTTTTAAAAAATATGTTCTGGAAAATGCCTGTCACCAATAACATATTTTCCAGAAATAGCCTTGTTTTATTTCTGTATAATTCTGTCTTTCTCTCTTTCTCAATCTCTACTTGGAGCTGACCTGCTGTGGTGGGAAGGGATTTCTATTCTGCTCTGGGTCTGAGTGGGAAAAAGCAACCTCCATTTCACGTCTGAGTGAAAAACACGCCTCCACTAGAAACCAGGGACCCTGTGTGGCTTTATGTCTGAAGCAAAAACAACTTCCCTTTTGATACTTTCATAACCACTTTTACTTAGACTAAAGTAAAATTATTGTAGGAATCATGACCTAAATTCCCCCAACATGTTTATTCAGCTATTTCATAAGTAATAGTTTCATATAACATAATTTCTTGTCTGCATTAGCATATTTCTCAGCCCCACACATAAAATGAGATGGAAAGCTTGATTAAAAATATAATAGAGTGGATGAATTTCAGAAAATGTCTGTAAATTCAGCATATAACTGAAAATGAAAACCAGGCCAATACTTGGTATTTAAATATTCTATATCCTGTATCCTATAGGATTTTTTGACTAATGTTTTTAGACTTATATTGTCCAAGTAAAGAATTCCAAGTCTTCTGGATTCTGGATAAAATTTAGAAGAGTTTTGAATAAATTAGTGATGTAGGATAAAGTCTCTCTTGATTAACCAAGATGCTACAATGATGGAAATATACTAAAGATCTGAACCTGTTAAGAAAATGGACAAAATTGTGACAATATTTAGCAAGTGAAAAAGACACAATGGGCAAAATGAAACAAAGTTAGGAACAAAAAAAAGAGTTCATGACTGTAAATTGAGTAAAGTTTTTTTTTAAATTATAATGTAGTAGAAAGAGCAACTTTATGCCAAAAAGTTTTAATTAGATTAAAGAGATGATATCCTGGTAAATTATAACTCTCAACATAGACACAAGAAGAAAGAGGAAAATCTGAATTAACCCAGATCCTTTCAAATTTGCTAAACATTTATTTATCATGAATTTCTGTTTAACAGAAGGCACCATTAAAAGTATAAAAATATAAGTCATAGAAAACAAAAGTGAAAATGCAAGCCATATGATAGAAGATATTTGTATAAATATATCCATAAAGACCTCAAACTGAAGTGTATATGTATGTATGTGTGTTTGTATCTGTAGATGATATTCTTATAATTCTTTGACAGAGAAAAAATAATGAAAAATACTTGAACAAGAAATTCACAAAAAGATATCTACACAGTCAATAAACATATAAAAATATTTTTAATTTCACTAGTGATGAGAAAAATGCAAATTAAAACCTCAATGAGATACCACTATGCATTCACTGAGATGGCTAAGATTAAATGACTGACAACACTAAGTATCAACAAGAATGTGAAGCAACTGGAGCTAATTTCCTGCTTGTAGGATTGTAAATTTGTTTGACTCCTAGGGAAAACTGGCAGTGTGCACTAAAGCTCCCATATGCCCACCCTATGACTTAACAATTCTATTCCTAGACATATTCCCAAGTGTTTGTGTGTGTGTGTGTTTGTATGTATGTATACAAAAATATTAGAAGGAAGTTCATAGTAGACTAGGTATAAGAAAAAAATACTGAAACAACCCAAGTATTTATCAACAATAACATAAATGAATAAATTATATTCACATGAGAGAATACTATGAGAATGAATGTATGGTCATTTATGCAGTTACAAATATGAGTCTCATACATGTAATATTGAGCAAAAGAAGCCAAACACTGAACAGCATATACTGCATGATTTCACTATTATAGAGTTCAAATTAATCTATTGTTTTAAAGAAACTTTTTGCTTAACTTTGAGCATGCACGCACAGTTGTGTATCCTGAACAATTTAAGCTCTCTGGAATTTTACACATCCCAGTTTTGACTTGATTAAAATCAGGCTTTCAGTTAGCAATGAAGTGAACCTTGATAGTGGCCTCTCACAAGGAAGAGTCTACCATCCAACCTGTAAACCAACCAGAGACCTGAACTCAAAAAGCTGCCTAATTTTATAGTCTTTCTCCTTTTTTGATCTACATCAAGCACTTCCATTTCTAAATAAAGAGAAACTGAATTTGTACTTGAACAATGCTGCGCTTCCTTGCCGGGCACGCTAATAAATTCAGCCTCACTTTAGATTGTTATTTATTAGCCTTTATTTCTTTTCACTTAAGAAGTTGGTTGATGTTAGGATATTGGAGGCACTTACAAGGAGCAGATATAAGGTGTGCTTGTAGGATGCTTTTCTCTCTTCATTTGTGGTAGTGACACAGCTGTGTTAGTTCTGTGAAAGTTTATTGACATCTACCTTTATGACTTTATAGTGTATACTGCAACAAAATTCACTGGAAAAATTTTAAAAAATATCTAGCTGATAAAAATATTTCAAACAAAACAAAACAAACAAACCCCAATAAAGTGAAACAAACAAAAGCCCCTCCCCCCAAAAAAAGCATATTAGGCTAAGATGAATTTACAGGCAAGTTCCACTAACCTTGTTCTGGAGAACACAGATACAAATATTGTGTCCTTCCTCATTTTTTTTGTTAATATAACCTTGATGGCAAAAACTAGACTGTACAAGAAAAGAAAATTGTAGGCCAATCTTACATACAAATATGACTCCACAATCTTTTTATAAATCAAATTTTTGAAAAGAAACTAGCAAACAAGGAACACAGATGTATTAGTGAAGTAAAACAAATGGTAAATAAAATTCAGGTAGCCCAAATTAGAGTCAGTACATTTTATAGATAGACCCTGTGTAAAGCTTCAAATAATTTCGATATTCAGGCTGGTCATACTCAGCTCTCAGAAATACCTAGACAAGCAAATCTTATAGAGCTCATTATAAAGAAAGATTCAATTTCCCCGTTATCCAATTAACCTTTTTCCTAAGAAGCAGCAAGGAGAAAGAACATGGAGGGAATGTTACAGGTTTGGTTAGATTCCATTTTATCTATTCATAATACTCCCGAAGAAGGCAAACCTATCAATGAAGCTGGCTGTTCCAACTCAGAGAATACAAGCTTTTGCCCAGGCACAGTGGTTCTCAAGGTGTGGGCTCAGACTAGTGTCATGAGCAGAACCTGGGAACTTCTTAGAAATAAATATTTTTGTGTTTCTTTGTTTTATTTTGTTTTGTTTTTGAGACGGAGTCTTGCTCTGTTACCAGGTTGGAGTGCAGTGGCACGATCTCAACTCACTGCAACCTCCGCCTCCTGGGTTCAAGGGATTATTCTGCCTCAGCCTCCAAGTAGCTGGGCCTACAGGCATGTGCCACCACGCCCAGCTAACTTTGTATTTTTAGTAGAGACGGGGTTTCACCATGTTGGTCAAGATGGTCTCCATCTGTTGACCTCGTGATCTGCCCACCTTGGCCTCCCAAAGTGTAGAAATGAATATTTTAAGGCCCCACATTGAATCACTAAATCAGGAACTCTAGGGGTAGATCCAAAGACACAGTGTTTCCATAAGTTCTCCAGGTGCCATGGACTTTAAAGTCTGAGAACTGCTGTCCTGGTGTAGGAGATTCTGTTGCAAATGGGCAAATGCTGTATATTACGCTACATTCTTCTTTCTTTCTATTTACTCCAAGAGTCAAAACAAAACAAAAAGATGAGAAAAGAATGTTCTGAAAGGAAATGTAACCCCCAACCAAATCGAAGTGACATTTAAACAGCAGAAATGGAAAGAAGTGAAACCTACCCTTTAGCTTTTCTAGATAAGTGAGAATATTGGGAGGTAGTAAAAACAACTTACGAAAAGTTATTCTGTTACTTGACGAGATTTTTTTTGATATCAACTTTATTACATTTTAAATTACAGAGTAATTGTGGAAAAATAAGACTGCAGATAAGCACAAAAAATGAAAAAATAAACCTGTAATTGCATTATCCATAGATAATGTTTTAAAGGATTTATAAATTAGTTTAATAATATCTTTTGATAACTGGTAGGACCCATTGTACATAATTACTCATTTGTTTCATAATTTTCCTAACTATACTTGTGATAATATATTTGCACATAGTCTTACAGATTTTAAATAAACAGTTTCATACAGTACATATAATTTTGTAACCTGTATGTTATACAAAAAACCATAATGAAACTGTCTACATCTCTTTGTATATAAACATATTTCCTTCTACAGCATTTAAATGTGGCATATCATTTTATTGCTCAAATGTGTCATAATTTACTCAATCTGCTATTGTCAAACAAGCAATATTCCTGATCGCTTACTGTTATAAAAACTCTATCATAAACATTTTTATAGGAAATGCTGCTCATATACTAAAAGTAGAAAGTTAATGAAGGTTTTTGTTTATTATTACTACTCTTTTCCCTATTCTCTCTCTTCCTCTTCTTCTCTCTTAAACACACACATACACAAAATTGCTGTTCTATTTTCGTGTATATATATATTACCAGAATTATTTGTATATTTGGGCCACTCAACCATGGGTGATCTTTTCCAAGTTGATATAAAATAGAATGTAATAAAATGTTGTGTTCTGTTTACGTAAATGTAAGTATGGTTGAACACTTTTAATGTATTCCTTAGCTCTTTTTCTTCATTTGTAACTTATTAACATACTATATTTATTTCCATATCTTTTAAACATGTTTGTTTACATTGCAAACAAACATGTATATAGATTCCTGCTTTTCTAAAGGGCAAACTAATAGCAGATGTAAAATGAAAGTACCCTTAATGCTCCTATGCCAGCTTTAATCTCATTTTCTTCCCCAGAGATACCAATTATTTACACTCCAGTTATGTCTTTTAAATACTTTTCTAGTTATTTACACACACACACACACACACACACACACACATACATTTATATATACATATAGGTTGTTAACAAAATTTTAGCCACATTGTATACAGAGCTCTCTAAATTGCTTATTTTTTCTTTCTTATTATATTTTGGGAAATTTTTCATATCAGTATACATAAATTATTTTTCTATGGCTTCATTTCTTCAATGGAATATATGTACAATAATTTTTAAAATAATTCTTTTGCAAATAGGTGTTACAGTTGTTTTCAGTTATTTAATGTTTTAAATAATGTCCCAATAATGTTTTACATATAATTTTGTAATGTAACAAATATGTTACATCAAGACTCAGTAAAATCAGAACATTTCTTTCTGTCAATTAACTATACAATCCCCTTCTGATTTTGCCCTACCTCTGGATAAAATCTCTATAAGCCCTTTAATATTATCTCTTGGACATTTGGTAACTCTTCTAGTCATGTGAGTTATCATAATAGTGTCCCAACATGCATTCATGCATAGCATGGACCAGGCAGTGTGCTAAGGACTTTGCATGTATAGTTTTTCGATCATCATAACAGGCCCGGTGCTGTGCCTCACATCTGTAATCCCAGCACTTTGGGAGGCCAAGGCATGTGGATCACTAAGGTCGGGAGTTTGAGACCAGCCTAGCTAACATGGTGAAACCTCTTCTCTACTAAAAATATGAAAATTAGCCAGGCATGGTGGCACTTGCCTGTAATCCCAGCTACTTGGGAGGCTGATGCAGGAGAATTGCTTGAACCTGGGAGGTGGAGGCTACAGTGAGCTGAGATCATGCCACTGCACTCCAGCTTGGGCAACAGAGCAAGACTCTTCATAAAAACCAAAGAAAGTAGGCATCTTAGATGAAAAAACATAGAAACTTGGCACACATAGCTATTTCAGTGTAAATAGCAGAATCAGTTATTATTTACACAATAAAACCAATTATATGAGAATAATTTATTTTAAAAAACAGATGTCTGCAGTGATATGTTGCTTCTTTCAAAGATAAACACTGGCCCATTGTGGTTGTATTATCGTACGTTGACTTTAATTCTTGTATGTTGACTTTCATTCTTCACTATGATTACCCAGGAGACTACATGCATTTATGAACATTTGTGCACTTCTCTCCCACTGTGGATGCATTTAGTTTCAGTGTTAAGCACTGCTGTTTTAACCTAAAGCACTGTCTAAGAAGTCTTAATTCTTAGTCCATAATTACAATACTTGGACTTCATCCACCCTTATACTGATATGGTATTCACTACTAATACTATTCTGAACAACACAGAAAATTAAACAAAACAAAACAAAAAAGGTCCTCTATCCTTTAGCTTGTATTGATTAACTAAGAAGGAACATTTTCATTTCCATGGTAGGCAGACAAGCAACATCTCTCTTGCATAATAATGTTTTTAGTCTACAAAGATTTAGCTGGCCCATAGCCCTAGACTGCATGAAGACACCTAATTAGTCCATCAAATGCTACAACTCAAGGCAGCTCTGCATGTTCTTCTGTATAAATAACATATATCATTGCTTAAATTCCTCAGATTAGTCCTCCACCTTCCAGCAAGGTTCATGTTTAAATCTTACCAAAAAGTCTGGAAGGGGAAAGGGAATTAAATCTATCTCAAGCTTATTAACTTTTAAAGTTTACACTAAAATAACAGAATGACCTGTCAAATAGTCAAAGGAACACTTTGGCTTTCTCAGACACTAATTATGTTAATCCTCTGACAACAGAAAACTTAAAAAAGCTTCCTTACTTTTGTCAGTCTAGTTCTACTATTGTTAGAAAAGGTCATTTTTTTAAATTGTGTGAGTTTATTGATTAGGAGAGAATTCACTCATCTTAAGATAATTATCCATATTTCTCGTCTCAGACAGTTATGTCTTTTGGATCAGGAAAAACATGAAAGGATGAATATTTTCCCTGTTGATACTGTAGTTGCAAAAATATAAAACAATATTTCCAACAAAATTACAGAGATGTCCAGCTTCAGACTTTGTGGCTCTCCTATCTCTCTGGTCCTTCCTGTTTACTATTCTTTCTTCCTTCCTTTTTTTTTTTTTTTAATATGGAGTCCTACTCTGTTGCCCAGGCTGGAGTACATTGATGCAATCTCAGCTCGCTGCAACCACTGGGGCTTTAGAGTTCAAGCCTTTCTCCTTCCTCAGCCTCCCAAGTAACTGAGACTATAAGCACCTGCCACCATGCCTGCCTAATTTTTGTACTTTTAGTATTTTTAGTAGAGACAAGGTTTCATCATCTTGGGCAGGCTGGTCTTGAACTCCTGACCTCAAGTGATCTGCCTGCCTCAGCCTCCCAAAATGCTGGGATTACAGGCATGAACCACTGAACCTGGCCTCTTTATTCATTTTTAAACATCAGTTTCACAACTCAGGCCACACTCTTTTTCTCTTCATTTCCTTCCTCTCTAACTGCCTTCAGCCACCCTTTAGAATCAGTTTAAACCCCTCACATTTATCTCTGGGCCAGATGCCTTATTTAAGTATGCAGATGCTTCACTCACACACATATGTGACGCATAATGGATTGTCCTTCATTGACACCCCCAGCACTCAACCCCTTTATGCCTAACACCAAATTCCTGCTTTGGCTGTGCTCAACTTGTTTCCTCTCTAAGCTTTTCCATCTTAGCAAGGAACTGGAAGTCATCCTTAATAGGTCTGCTTCTCGCTATGTATAAGTTCAGGTACATCCTAAAAAATTCTCAAGTCTTTCCATGTATCTCCACCAACAACACACCACTCCACTCAAAGGAGTTTTGTCTCTTTCGGGAAGAATACTAAAGTGAAACCCTCCTGTTTCCCTGTGGGAGAATGCCATTATTGCACACACTGTAGCCGTTGTTGATATTTTAAAATGTGAATCTGATCTTGTCACCTCCAGCCTTATCTACGAATCACCTTTGTGGCTTCCTATTGTTCTTAGAATAAAGATAGAGTATACTTAGGCTTCCTATAACATACTCTATGCTCTTATTGGTCTTATTTTGAACCACTCTCCTTTTTTACCATCTGTGTTACTTTTCTTTCATTTTCAAGAA